ACTACTAATCAACTCTTAAGAGTTACCAATTTAATTCGTTCAAACAAATCTGAAGGCTGCTCAACTGGAGTTGATCTTCTAGACATAGAAAAAGCATTCGTGGAAGTTTGATTGCTAAATTGAAAAAGTTTAATTTTCCCCTCTATATTGTGAAATTTGTTCAAAATTATTTAACTGACAGAACTCTTATCAAAATTCCAAATCTAATCGACTACCTGTTAGAGCAGGAGTTCCTCAGGGTAGCATTCTTGGACCTATATTGTATAACATTTTCACTTTGAATCGGTTCAGGGTTGCCACAAATCTTTGTTCGCTGATGACACAGGCATTTCCGCTAAAGGAAGAAGTCTTCGTGTTATTTGCAGCAGACTGCAGAAAAGTTTAGATATTTTCTCTTCTTATTTACAAAAATGGAAGATTTCTCCCAACGCTTCCAAAACTCAACTTATAATATTTCCACATAAGCCTAGAGCTTCGTTTTTTGAAACCTAGTAGTAGTCACATAGTTACTATGAATGGAGTTCCAATTTCATGGTTAAACCAGGTGAAATATCTTCGATTAATACTTGACCAAAAATTAACTTTTAAAGATCACATTGAGGGCATTCAAGCCAAATGTAACAAATATATAAAATGTTTGTATCCTATTATAAACAGGAAATCCAAACTTTGCCTGACGAATAAACTTCTAATATTTAAACAAGTTTTTAGACCGGCCATGCTTCACGCTGTGCCAATATGGTCTAGTTGTTGTCCTACCAGGAAAAAAAGCACTTAAACGGATTCAGAACAAAGTTCTGAAGATGATTTTGAAGTTGCCCCCCTGGTACAGTACTACCGAAGTACATAGAATTTCGAATGTTGAGACTTTAAAACAAATGTCCAACAAAATAATTTATAATTTCAGGCAAAAATCGTTGCAATCCTCAATTGTAATGATTAATTCCCTTTATACTTAGATAAGATTTAGTGTTAGTTTTTAGTTTTAAGATTTCAATTGTTATACTGACATGCAGGTTAAAAAAACTTGTTTAAAATACTGAATTGCCAAGGCAGGAACAATGTAAAAACACTTAGATATATATCATAACAACTAAGGCTGGTAAGTTACTGTAGTAACTGGATCACCTAGGTTAAAATTAAATGTAATTTATTTTAAATTTGGAACAAATAAAGAGTTAAAAACAAAAATTGAATTGGCACCGCTCATGCTTCCTTTACCACTCACGATAAGCGTGCCGACCCTGAGTGCACACTTAGAAATAACTAAATTTACACGTGATGGAATCCATCTTCGACATAAAAGATGAGACGTAAACAAACATGTCATGTAATATTAAGTGCTCCGAGACTGAATAGTTCGTTGCTCGACGAAAAGTCCGCTTGATTGAGCTATATTTCACGTCGGTTATGACTCAAATTTATGTCGAAATTGACGCTCGTATATGTTACTCTCACAACACCTAAATTTACATTAATTTTTCTAAGTGTGTGGTCAAACAAATAGAGTCTCAAAAGCCTCTGGGGAAGAGTCACCCTTTGTGACACTCCCTGTCATGTAGTATATGCCATACGGCCATTTGTTATAATTTATGCAATACTAATTCAATACCATCATGGAAATGTTTCAATCTTCAGAATCTTTTAAAACTACGGAATTCTGAAAAGTCAAGGATCTTGAACATGTAACTCTACTGTCTGTATCCCGGTAAAAACGCTCAGTAGCAAGAAACCTCTCGAGCTGTGTCTCAAGGTCGGCTTACTACTGGGTAATCTGGAGGGGCTTCGCGATCTTAACGTGCAGTACTGTCACCTGACTAAAAGCTATGGAAAGTTTAAGTGACACAGTAATCAAAGGGTGTATACTATTATTTATTAATAAAAGCTATAGCAGGTGTGGATTGGATTTCTAATAGTTCTATTGAATTTTATGGATGTACAGTGGGTTTTTGGGGGTTTAACGTACCGGTACTGAACTGCTGCCGTTGATTCTGCTCTGCCGAAGACTACTCTGCCGATGTGCGAGCGCTCGCCGATGATCCTACGTACGACGAGCTTGACGTCGGGCGAATCAAGCCTGACAGGGTGGTGATGTTGGAACAACAGATCGACTTAACTCGATGGCGATCTGCGGTCTCCTGGCGTCTACCCTCGTTGACGAGAATCACCAGAGTCCAGGCAAGGCCGGAGTGACTCTGCTGAGAGGGGTCCTCTTTAGCGTTTAGAGCCGCCTTGGCCCGAGGAATGCGACGATTTTGACCTTGCAATGCCAAATCGAAATGATGTCCTTTACTGTTAGGATTAATAGCCACTAAGGACCAATAATCCGACTCGTGTGCTTCCTAACCGACTTAGTCGGTTGGTTCACAAAATGGCGAAAAAGGTCCTGATTGAACAGATAGGTATTCCCGCGATTCACCACTCACTTTTATTACTTTGAGGACACTTGATTTTAACGGTCCGAAGCACTCGAACGCCAGATACTGATTAAGGAATGGCGGTTTTCCTTCGCGCTTTTCCCATCCCATTGCTCTCCTCGTTAGACGTTATTTTCCACCCATTTTGAATTCGTAGTTTCGCCCGAATGTTGTTGTACCCACTGTACTGTTGTACGGTTTTATATAATTTTCAAATTTAAAAACAATTAATCCTACCAACAAATTAACATTTTTTTTTTACAACGACTACTAACCCTACTAATCCAACACCAAATAACTTTAAGAGACGTGACGGTACATTTAACAACTATGCACAAATTAAAAATCTAACATGTTTTGTAACAAACGGTTACAAACATTTTGCCAAATCCCGGATCTTGGGAGCTACGATTTCTAAAAAATGGGGAGTTCATATTTCAATTCAGGAATCTAGTTTTGTTCGAGAATTCTTCTCAAGTTTTCGGTCAACCGACATTCGGACAAATGACCCATTTGGCCTTACATCAGTACATGAGTACATTTAGAACTAGAAGGTTTTTGAAAATTATCAAATAGCAACCAAATACCGAAACTTCCATACAGCGATTCAAGCTGAATAGTACAGCCAACCTGGAAATGTAAGATTCTATTAAAAAATTGCGTTAAAAGTATGAAGAATTTGTAATGATGAACCGCATGAACAGATTCTGCAATGTGGCCGTCGGAAGGTTCAAAAAATGTAATTTATATGTAAGTTAGATATTCGAACATAGTTTCCAAATGCACTGCGGCTAGGAATTCATTTCGGGACGGTTTTATACAACACATATTTATTTTGGAAACCAGCATGAATGCTACTGTCCATTGTATTTGACGTAACATACATACACAGAGAATGTAAGAAACTCTTCCTTACATTTGATGTTCATGCCAATTGTTTTACGAGTAGCAGCTATCTAACTATAGGATGATTGAAGGTGTAGAAAACTGATTAAAAACAGGCTGACTACAAAGTTGATTAGCATGTAATCATGAATCAAATTAATTTATTTCGATCACTGTCGATCGTAGGGTTTTATTGAATGATATTTTTACTCTTAAAACTATCCACCATTGTGTATTGCCAGTATACTTGTCTGAATGATAATTTTATCACTGAATACAGATTTCCAACAAACAACATACTTTCTGGGATCGTAATATAATCACACAGATTTTTCAACAAAGAGGCAGCACCAATTCATCAGAGCTCAAATAAAACAGCAAACATAATTCAAAAGGATTGTAGACGAGTGAATCTTTGTTGAATAAACATGTAGTCCACCGTGGAATGTCATATATCACCGCTTGCTAATCTTCCGAATCCCATGTGAACGAAACATAGTTTAGTGTTGATCATATAACATACCGAGATCAAACACGCAAACATCAACCAGCAGCTGTGTAGAGGAAGATTGGATCGTCACGCCCGTTTGCCTTTTTCGCGCTTTCATGCATGGACGCATTGCGCAGTAGGTACCAACGGCAGAGTCAGTTGGTGTCCCTCGGAATGGAAGGGGACGCGACTATTTGGCCACGCGCGATCGCCCAACCGTCGGCCGCCATTGGGGAAAAACGATTTTTCTTCTGGGCGGCGGCGCTCTTTTCTCTGTTCTTCGCTCGATGAATTTTGTTTCAAAATAAACAAATGGGCGGAGCCATACAACAGAGTGTGTCTGTGAGAGCGAGGGTGAAGATCGGTCCGTTTTGTGTGTCGATCAGTGCTTGGGATGGCCCGAGCGCGAGGAAAACAAGCTAGATTGAGAGAAAGAAATGCGATCTATGCCGGGAGTACAAGGCACGATCTGTCGGTGAATGTCCTCTCGCTTTCGTCTGCTTCGGGAGGAAGTTGTAAAAGTTATGAGTTGTGGTGAACTGTTAAGGGAAATTTAATCGTATGAGTGATCCTCCTAAAAGTGTGTTGATTGCAGCGTGCGGTCATGTGGGAGGATTGAAGTTTGGAATTACATCAGCACACGGAACTGCACGGAATTAAGATCATTAACATAAGTCATAAGAAACTGGATTCTCCTCAAACAATTGTATATGAATAGAATTTTAAAATTTTATAACTGAATCCAATACTTTATCAGGTGAACGACCAAACGTGAAAAAAGGATAAATCGAATTACGGAGAAAAGTCGTAAAGCAAATAGTTATTATGTTTTCAAACAGGCAATTTTCCCTCCACACGGACATATCCCGGACAAATGCACTATAATACAGGGCGAGAGAAATACATGCTTCTCGCTAAACACTTTGAGAGTAGGAAAGAGCAGCAACAAAGCACTGCCGGGGTTTACCGACTTTTCGGCGTTTTTGTTTTTATTACTCTCAATGTAGTGTAAAACATAAATAAAATGAGCATTCTAAACGCTGTGTGTTTATTGTGGTCTCGGTGGAGGAAAAACGAGGAAAGTGTGTGCGCGCGCGCTGCGGAATGATGTTTCTGTTATTCGCGTCTGTTAAACAAATAGATCGAGCGCCCGCAGGAATCGTTGGAAGATCATTTTCTCAGTCACTAATTGATTGTCACGCGGGACGGTAAACGGGAGAGGATCCGATTTGAAGACACCGTCAGTACGCAGGCGCGAGTGATTTGAACGACAAGTTTTCCGTTTTGCAACATTTGTGGAAAAAAATGTTGCCATACAGTTCGTATGCCGCCGCGTTGGATCAGATACACAGCATCAATCAGGAGTTGTCACTATTTGCACAAAATGGACGATACTTTCCGCTGGAAGCTGGCGGGGGTGCCGCTGGATTCGCAGGAACGGCGTACTTTGGATTAAATCAGTGGTCTTTGCCGTTTTCATTTCTCAAGGCTGCGCATCGACCGGAAAAGCCACCCTTTTCCTACATTGCGCTGATTGCCATGGCCATCAGTAGTGCACCGGATCAACGGCTGACGCTTAGCGGAATATATAAATACATTATGGATAAGTAAGTTCAAGCGATTGTGATTGATAAACTATGTTTTATTTTGATCGAAAGTTGATCTTGATACGGTATGGGATTCACAGTTGACTCTGGTTTAGTTGCGATAATTTTGCAAGTCTTCGTTAATTAATTAATGAATGGAAATAATTTTAACCTTAATTTACATAGAGTAGTTTTTGTTTAACAAATATTTTTCAGTTTTCTTGTGATTCATAGCAAGATTTTCAACCCAATTTTTCCAGCTGAAACTAGAATTCAAAACCAAACATTGGTGCAAATTTCAGTCAAACATATTGATACGTAGGTTACAGCGGGATCAATTTATAAACTTATGAGTTTTTTTAATTGTAGGGGACACCTTTTTAAATGATTTTATCACCAATTGCTTCCGAACATTTACTCAAATAGTTGATAAATTGAGATGAATATTACCTTGAATTCCATTACCCCAATTGAACCATTACTCCGAATGACATTACCCCGAATTCCATTACCTCGAATTCAATTTCCACGAATGACCCATCACCCCAGAATTCTATTAACCCGAATATATTACTACCACGAATTTCTAAATTAACTATCTATTTTATTAAAGCATGTAGCATATAAAATATTTAAAGCCCATTAATTCATTCTTTGATGCTTTAATTGAATTTCAATACATCATATTAAATTCCATGGAAAATAAAGGCGATATAAACTTTCTTAAACAAAATATAAAAAAAAAATACGAAATTTTTAGTAAACTTATGTAGGCACAATTTTAACGTCTATAATATTTTTTTCATAATGCCTAATTAGTTCCCTACAACTCTTTCTTAGTCATCTTTCTGTTTCCGCACTGCATTTTTTAAATGATGTGTGTGCGAAAACACATAGGCCTGCGGAATCGTTTAATTGTCTTCGAAGCAATAATTTGCAACTTCTCTTTTTACCTGTGCACTAACTTTCAAAACCGGATTTAATACCATATTTATACTCGAAGTGGTTTCAAAATCCACAAAATCTAGTTTATTCGATATTTTACCATTTCAAGCAATATTTTAGTATTTGTTTATATTTTGAGAGTTGGTGCACAGGTAGATTGAGGTTAAGGCGTCACCACTGAATTTTGGTTGACCATATGCTGAACCACATAGCGATGAGAATAATAACAGAAGAATATTTATTACCATAGTTAAGGATCGAAGTGTGCGATGTTAAAAGATTGACATGATTTTTTCCCCGTCTAAAACATTGATTTTATTCCGTTTTTCGTGTTTCTGGTATTTTCAGTTAGACTTTAGTGCGATGTTATAGAGAAGGTTTTCATGAATCGCCAATGACGAAGAAAGATCTACTGAATCCAGAATATTTGGAAACTGGCCAGAAGCCCAACCCAATGAAATTCCGTGAACTTACCATAAAGGAATTCAAATAGAACAAGAAGCAGCTTTCAACATCACAAAATAGTAATTTATAAAAAAAAATCACACACTCACACACAAACACACATACACATTTACTTTTTTTTCGGCACACACATAGATCCTGTATCAGCATATTTCTCCTTCAGTAGTTCGACCATCTCGTTGTGTTCCGCAGCTTTCAACTTGAATTGCTTGAGATCATCTTCTTACGCTTGAAAACGGAAGATGTGTTTCCTAATGCCGTTGGAAATGTCCGTACCTTACCTTACAAATCAGGCTAAGGCCTTGTTGTCCTCTGCTGTCCGAAGAAGTCGTCTCCACTCTACTCGCTCCATGGCCACAGTTCGTCAGCCTCGTAGTCTGCGAAGGGTCCGCAGGTCACCTTCTACTTGGTCGATCCACCTTGCCCGCTGCGCGCCTCTTCTTCTTGTTCCTGTTGGGTTGCTTTCTAGAACCATTTTCTCTGAGTCGTCGTGCGGCATTCTTACTACGTGCCCAGCCCACCGTAGTCGCCCAATTTTTGCAATGTGGACGATGGATGGTTCTCCCAGCAGCTGGTGCAATTCGTGGTTCATTCGCCTCCTCCAAGTTCCTTGATTCATCTGCACTCCACCGTAGATGGTGTGTGGTATTAATACCCCTCGAATAGAGATGTTAGGCGTATGCTATAAAACCCGAACATAACTCGGCTTCGGGTCCGACTAACATCGCGACGAAACCATAACACGACAAATAACGATTAAGGCGCGTCACGAACAATCCTCGTCCTCTTTCATCTTAGACCCGTCACCACGTGCAGACGCTTGGGTAAGTAACTGGCGAGGTCCCAATTGGATTCCGCAGCAAATAGCAGAGTTTCACAGATGGTACGCAACACCTTCCGTTCGAAAACACCAAGGGCGCGTTGGTCCTCCACGAGCATAGTCCAGGTCTCGTGCCGTAGAGGACCACCGGTCTAATCAGCGTGTTGTAGACAGTCAACTTCGTGCGGCGGTGAATTTTATTCGACCGGAGCGTCCTCTGGAGTCCAAAGTAGGCACGATTCCCTGCCATAATGCGTCTTTGAATTACTCTGCTGGTATCATTTTCGGTGGTCACCAGTGAGCCCAAATACACGAAATCATCGACCACCTCGATTTCGTCACCGTCAATTTGAACTCGGGGTGGGAGGCTAACATTGTCTTCCCTAGAACCTCTTCCTTTCATGTATTTTGCCTTTGATGCGTTGATGGCAAGTCCAATCGGCCTAGCTTCAGCCTTCAGTCTGATGTACGTTTCCGCCATCATCTCAAGGTTCCGTGCCATAATGTCAATGTCCTCGGTGAAGCCAAGGAGCTGGATGGACTTCCTGAATATCGTGCCACTCGTGTTTATCCCAGCTCTTCTGATCACACCTTCTAACGCGATGTTGAACATCAAACACGAAAGTCCATCACCTTGCCGTAACCCCCTTTGAGATTCAAAGGGACTCGAGAGTGTCCCCAATACTCGAACAACGCACATCACTCGATCCATCGTCGCCTTGACCAATCGCGTCAGTTTATCCGGAAATCCGTACTTGTGCATAATCTACCATAGCTAATCTCGATCGATTGTGTCGTATGCGGATTTGAAATCGATGAACAAATGATGTGTGGGCACGCTGTATTCGCGGCATTTCTGCAGAACCTGCCGAATCGCGAAAATTTAGTCCGTTGTAGCGCGGGCACTCATGAATCCCGCCTGGTATTGCCCCACGAACTCTCTTGCAAGTGGTGAAAGGCGGCGGCATAGAATTTGGGAGAGTACCTTGTAGGCGGCGCTCAGCAGTGTGATCGCGCGGTAGTTGCAGCAATCCAACTTGTCGCCCTTTTTGTAGATTGGGCATACGACACCTTTCATCCACTCCTCAGGTAATATCTCCTCCTCCCAAATCTTGGAAATTACCCAGTGCAGCGCTCTAGCCAGTGCTTCACCACCGTATTTCAATAGCGGTGGTAGGTAGTTGATCTACACCAGTTGCTTTGTTGTTCTTCAGCCGACCGATCTCCTCATCAACTTCTTGAAGATCATGGGCCGGTAGCCTGTCGTCTTCTGCGCGTGCTCCAAGGTATCTAACTATGTAACTAAAGTAAAATATACTTAAGTTTTGAGCTCCTGTTAAACGGCTGCTGCAGAAATATAGTTTAATTCAATTTAGATACTAATAAAATTCTAATGTGTTGCCTCCCTTAGTTCAGTTGGAAAAGGCGCAGCCATAATGCAAGACCATGCTGGAGGGGGCTGGGTTCAAAACCAGATCCGGTTTAGGAATTTTCGGGTTGAAAATAGACCTGTGCGCCGATCAAAACATTTTCGGCGGCGATTTAGAAAAAAATACTTTCCAAACCAATCGCACATGGACAAAACATGCTGTCCACATTTGAGCTCAGATTACTTAAAATCGCTAAAACGTAGGTCACTCATAGTATGAGTAAATTTTCCGACACTTTCCCGGGGAAAACTTCTCGAATATGGGGAAATTTTAAGAAAATTATACACAGGTTAGAAGTGTACTATTTAGTAGACAGACTAAAACCACAATCAGTTTTCCTCGTATTCGAGAAGTTTTCCTCGGAAAAGCTTCGGAAAATTTACTCATTCTATGAGTGACCTACTATTTCGTGAATTTGAGTAACCTGAACTCAAATATGAGTAACTCTTACTCAATTTTGAACCGTGCATTCGGAATTTGTTTCCATTTGCTTAGAAAAGTATAACAAGTGCTTGTTAAAATTGCAGGGGGTGAAGTCATACGGTAAAGTGTTACAGCCCTTTTATTAAGTATAAGAAAAGTACGTTATGTAGGTGGTGGATAGCAATCTGTTGCAATCAAATTGCCCCGTAACGTGGGTAGATCACCTTTTCGTGGTACGTTACGGGATGTAAGATCTACCATCGATTCCTAGTCTTGACTACTTCAAACTAGGGGAACAGGATTTTTCAGTAATCAAAGGAACACATCTTAGTCCTTGTTACTTTTTATGCCTTGTTGATAGTGATAAGTCCTCGGGTTGCCTGGACCGAGGATGATCTTGAAACAAGGAAAAAATGAGTTAGTTAGTCTTCATCTATGTGATTCCTAATCTTCTATTCGTTGTTCCCTAGTACTGAATTTTCATCGGCTTGACATAAATTTATTCGGCGGCGTGAACCATTTTACTGCAGCGGAGCGCCGGCTCGATTTCATCGGCGGCGGCGACGTATGAAAATCGGCGGCGGTGGTGGCGTGTTGCGGCGGCGCACAGGTCTAGTTGAAAATTTCTCTACTTCTTGGGCATACCGTATCATTGAATTAAACACACAATATACGATCGCAAAAATGGTACAGGCTTAGAGAGCTCACAATTAACAACTGTGGAAGTGCTTATAATACATTAAGTTGAGTGCAGGCGTAAAGTTCCAGCTAGGACGTGATAGCCAAGAAGAAGAACATGCTAATGTAAACAACAGAAATAGATACATATGAATGTTAACAACTTAAGTATCTAAATTGATAGATGAGCGTTTTTGGAGGATAATTGTATACTTAAGTATGATGAAACTTGTGTTGGTTTCTATTTTTAAAACAATAGT